ATTACCTTTAAAGCCTGAAAAACACAAGGACAAAGAATGCCACATCTGTTACACAACACCTGGAGGGTCAAGTAGTGTTAAGACTGGTTTAACAGACCTTCAAAATAAAACACGAAACTCACACATGTGAAGACACAGACCAAGAAACACGGACTTTACACAGAGGGAACACATGGGCAGAAAAGACTAAACACAGAGCAGAGGGGGCACAGAGAAACATGAGGGGCAAGGGAACAAAACCTAGGAACGACAGAATAAATCACAAATGAACTTAACATAATACAAAAATCACAAAGAACTGAAAATACTGGGTCAGGAGACCCAGGACCTTGACATCCAGTGTCTGCCCTGTGCACTGGGCTGATAGACAACACTCGACTGCCTTCATGCAAACTAATTTTATCCCCAGAAGTATGTTTGATCGTATTTGAGATGCAATTATTGGCAACAATAAAACACTAAACTGATATCACAACTATAGGGCACTCATTTAAATTCATGAAAATTCTAAATTCAAAAACTAGTGTTGTTGTTGTTTCCTTAAATTGATTACAATCAAATGGTGGTGCTAAATTAAATTAAGGGGATTACTCAGATTCCGATAGTTTATCATGAGGGTTAGGTGAATGGTTTACCAAAATTGAGAAAATCCACAGAATTTATGATAAAAACAGACTTGTTGCTCAAATTCACAAGCATCAGTTTTATTTTGTAGAAAAACATCACTGGAAAAAAAAAAAGTGGCCACTTGCTATAGTTTTTGAGAATGAGAGAAAGATTAAAACTTTTTAAAATAAGATGTGGCGCCCTCTGCTAGGGAAATAGTGCTGCTGCCAAATATACCACAGGAGTTCACCTGATGTTACTGACTTGAAAGCAAAGCATATTGCTCTTATTTTACTTTTTTCATAAACGTAAATACAAATAAAACAAAACGACACCTTTAAAAAAATCCTGAAAATGGGATAAATAACATATTTCGTCTTTTATATTACTAAATCCAACAGCAACTACTTGACTTTTTTTTTAGATAAATAAAGAGGTCAGTGTATGGGAAAAAGACAAGACAAGAGATAAAACACTTATGATTTCTTCAACAGCTGCTGTTTTCTTATTGTGTCGTAGTCAAGTGTAAAAATCTTTCAAAAGTGGAGACAAGCACCAAATTTTATGACATACAACTTCTGAACACAATTCTAAGGTTTCCTCAAAATTTCAAATTTAAACAAGAAACATTATCGTGCTCCTTTGACTAATTAAGAACAAGAAACACCATAAAGCACTTGAAACATTTATTATGTCAGTTTAAGGATTCTGCAGTTACTTCCATATTTTGCAGGCACACAGTTAATAAGTACGACCTTTTTTCTGGAATCATTTAGTCACATGCTGAAATAGAAAATTGGTCCAATCTAATTATATACTTTGAGTTTAAATTACAGTCCCCATTGTCAGGGGTTGCAGTGCCGATAAGGGAAGGACCCAAACGCTGGACTCCCAGGTGGGTGAAGGTTGGTGTTTATTATAACATAAGTATGAAATGTGAAAAGTCAGCGACTTGACGACTGACTGACTGACTGACTGACTGACTGACTGACTGACTGACCTGACGGAACTGAACATAGGACAACCTAACAGCGACAATGACACGACAGAGAACTGGTAAAACTGAGGAACTTAAATACACAGACTGGATGATGACGATAACTGGACATAGGAGAATACACAGCTGAACATAATGAAACAGGAAATGGTAGGAGTGGAAAAAACAGAACATGAACTGAAAACGCTGGGTCAATGACCCAGGAATCCTGACACCCATCTGACTTTACAGGTAAATGCAGCTTGATAGAATAACTTATACCTTGTAAATTCTTTATTAGATAGATGTACCTATCCATTTTTTTTATTTGATTTTAGATTTTTTAGCCACTTATCCAAATCTGGGTAATGGGAACCATATGGTTGTACAGACTAAGGCGTATGCTCTGGTTAACACAATGTGTAACCATTTGTAATCACACACCTACAGCTTGGCTATGGCTATTTGAAATTCAATCTGTTCTTTCTAAAATTAAAACTCCAGGTTCAAACAGTTTGGCTGTTGTGTAAAATAAATATAAGAATTTGCATGTATAATAAATAAAAATAGAATCAAATGATTCCAAATCTCATAAAGCCATATTTTATTTACAACATTAAACGTTTAAACTAAGACATTTTACATTTTTTTGATGGCAGCAGTGCATGAAAAAAGATGGGACAAGGCCACGTTGAGCTCTGTGTAGCATCTTCTTTTAAATGTAACCTGTAAACATCTGGCAACTGAGGAGACGAGGGTTTTATAAAGGCAGTAATCATTAAACAGTCTTTGTTCTACACAGCTTTTCTCTTCAGTCATAATCTTGCCTGCATAACAACAGATATCCCATGAAGGCAGCATGTTTAATGTCAAGCTTTCTATAACATTTGTAAATTATGTGGTAAAACCTCTGTTACGTTTAGTTTTCCTCCTCGTATGATGCACTTGACCTCAGGGACCTGCTGGGGACGTATGGATGTAAAAGTTCACTGATCTAAGCAAAGTGTTCCTGGATGAGCACATCTCCAAGGAACTCTCATGGTCGAATAACACCACATCACTGGCCAAGAAGGTCCAATATCTCCTCCACTCCACTCCACTGTTGAACAGCTCTGTCACACAAAGCTACATTTAAATCTTGTAATGCTGCTGAAAATCTTTTTACTGCATCTATCGGCACCACTGTCATACCTACTGCAAGAGTTGTGTAGATGTGCTGATTTTGCTACAGTACTTGTTAGAGAGAGAAGACTAAGGTGTGATGGAGAGATGAAGAGCTCCAATACTGCTTTCCCCAATGTCTTTACACACTATAGTGCCTGCAGAACCACAGACATGCCACATGAGGGCAGTATATTGTAGTTTATAAATTGAAAGGGTCACCTTTGAAGTCTTTATATAAATCCAAACTTTTTATAAGGTGGACAGGCTTCAGCATTAAAACGCTATGTAATTACAGAACCACATTTATAAGTGATAAGCTGATGTGAAAGCCAGGGATACAACTTTTCTGTATTGGGTGTATTTATTTTACATTTAAAGTAATCATTAGGATGCTAGATGCAGACCTTTTGTGAAAATAGAAGCAACTAAAAAAATTACAAAGAGATAATGTTCCAATTTTTTATTGTTGCAGACAAATAATTTATGAAAGATCTCCATAAGATCCCTCTTTAACAACAGTCTGTAAACATCTGGAAAGTGAGCAGACCGGATGTTGGACTTTTTGAAAGGGGAATTTTGTCTCATGTTTTCTGATATAGGATTCTAGCTGTTCAAGAGACCTGGCTCTTCTTTGCTGTATTTTATACTAAACGACACTCAAAAATTTTTCAGTTGGTGATACATGAAGCTATGTTATTAGACAGTAATATCTGCAGTACCAGCAATGTTGGAAATTCAACAACCTGTAAATGTCCCAGGGAGTTTTTGCTTAGACCATTGAATGATGGTCTAAGCAATGAATAACGATCTCCAGTTCAGAGTGTGACACAATCTGACTTAACTTGACAATATTTCTTAAGTGAAAAAAATAAGACTGAACCAGATTTTTGAATAAAACATACAAACTGAGAGCAGAGTCAAAAGTTACCCCAGAGACTGAGAGATTTAGCAAATAGTCTCTTATTTAAGAAAGTGAGTTATGAAATGAGAACCAGAGCTTTCATTATAGGCATAAATCTGTCAGGGGAACAAACAAGGACTTCAGTTTTTTGTTCATTAAAACTGGAGGAAGTTTTCAGCCATTCAGCTTTTAATGGAGTCTAAGTTCCTAAATGACTGTAACTGTTGAATCAGAGGAAAGACTTGGGAGATCCAGAGGAGAGAAGACTGACTTTGTAAAAGAAAAAGTTAAATGGTTCCGATATCAACTAACAACAGGGCTGAAAATAAAAATAAAGTTATTTCATTGAAGTCTATCTAAATTATGTCATGTTGAGGAGTTGAGGCTGATGTCAAAGGTTTGAATTATATTACATTTAGCTTAAAAACACAAGTAGGAATAAAAGGAACCCTTAAAGGTTGTAGTAAAAGACTGCTAAAAATATTTCAATCATTTCTATGACATCGTGGTTAATATCTACACATGTAAAATGGCTCAATAATTTCAAATAATTAATTTATAATTTAATTTAAGCTGTTGTTTATAGAGTATCCAAACTCTGTGGTGCCACCAGTCTTTTCTTTATACTGATCATCATTAAGACCTAAATGTATTAAAGTTCATTACATTTATTATAGTTTTTTTTATATTCAGTTTACAAGCTCTTTTGTACAAAATTTGTTATGCATTAGTAGAGATGTACAAAAAAAAGAAGAAAACTCTTCTGGCAGTATTTTTTAAATATAATTTGAGATAAATTTAATAGATCGGTGTAGGTTCTCAGTCATCCAGGTCGTTGTAGTCTAAGGAGTTTAGGAAGTTCTGTGCAGATGTTTCATCTCTTATTTAAGAAAGTGAGTTATAAAAGTAAAAGAGAGGATCCCAGGTATTTTAACTCTAGTGGGGGTTGTTCCCAGACAGTTGTTGACCCTCTGTAGAAGATTATTTGTTATATACTAAGATACAGTTTTCTTTGACCCATGCCTGTTTTGTTTAACCCTTTGATCCCTGCATGCAGGAAAAGTGCAGGCTTGCAGTATCTTCGTAATTAAGGCAGTGCCTGACTCCTGTCTCTGGACAAGATAATAGTTTTTTAACTTATTTGTTTCATATATCCTTTTGAACTGTGGGTGACCTGTGTGAAGTGACTGATCTACCTGACAAGAGGGTAGTAAAGATGGGTGGCGGACTCTTCTGTAAGTAGGGTCTGTTTCCTTTGTTCAACGAATTCCTCACTAAAACACTGTGACTGCTGTATAGGAATTTCTTTTATTTATGTATTAATCACATTATTTTATCGTATAATGCCTTGGTGCCACTGGATTTTAACATGTCTCACACTCATACAGTAAGACAAATGGTGGGGGTCTAGTAGGAAAGTTGGAGGAAGCACACAACTCCACAGGAAGAGTCTTTTGTCTCTTCAAGGACTCTGGGAGGTAGCAAGGGAGTGTGAATCTTAATAATTATGTGGAACTGCACATGGAACTGCTCTATTAAAATGCTAAAACTAGAAACATAAGTGAGTTTTAAGACAATGAGTTCCTGAGCACATTCATATAAAAGGGACACAAATTAAAACAACAACATTTGCAGATATTCACTGACAATTTGCAGGGTAACCAGAACTCTGAGGTGCTGCTGCTTGTTAAATAAATAAACCTACAAACATGCTGGGTTATGGATGAAATCCATTTAATACTCCCATGGTAATACACACTCCAGGCATGTATTCGAGGGTCACAGCAGATGGCCCCGCCCCTCCCTGAGCCTGGTTCTGTCGGAGGTTTCTTCCTGTTAAAAAGGAGATTTTCTTTCCCACTTTCACCAAAGTGCCTGCTCACATGGAGTCATATGATTGTCGGGTTTTTCTTTATATCTGTAACTGTATGGTTTACCTTATAATATAAAGCGCTTTGAGGCAATTGTTGTTGTGATTTGGCACTATATAAATAAAATTGAACAGAATTGAACAATGATGTGAGGACTCAGCCAAACAGTTGCCTGAATCTATAAGTTTTATATAAGATTTTGATAAAAGTTTCTACCCTTTCTCATCTTTGTGTGATTTATAAGAAGTATAACATTTGGTTTTATAGCAATATGTTATGAACAGTTTTATTCCTGCATAATAGAGAGGACAGTCAGAGGTTGGAGCACTGTGAAACACTGTTAAAGTGACCACTCAAAAACCACGAAAAAACATGTAGCCCAACATCACTGGCTAATCTGCTATAGCATTTCATTGAACTATTTAGCCATTTAACAATTATATATATTACACAAGGTGGATTGTGTTCAATCAGCTTTGTCTCCTGAGGTTGAGACAAAGAACACTAAAAACATGACGCACTGCCTTCTGAGAAACTCCCAATAATACCCATTATTCTCCAGTACTGATGAATCTCCTAGGCCCTAAAACTACTGAATCATACTGAACCGACTGACTCATTAGGCTGACTCTGAGTTTGGACTTTCATCCTTTGCACACTGTAAGGTCTTATCAGTGGCTAAAAAACCTTCAGCCAACTGTTTTTTGACTTAAAAACCAGAAAATCCTGTGGGGTCCATCCAATGTTGAATCTTCACTCTAATTAAAATACAAGAGAAAGAGCGAAGTATTTCATTGAATGTTTTATTCGATACATGCAAACAACACAGGCGGTTGGCTAAAAATTGCTAATGCTACCCATTCATGTGCAAAGCAACTGAGAAACAAAGATGAGAGACTCAATGTCAGAGTAATTTATGAAATACCAAACTAACAAACTCCTGTTACCAGTTTTACTTGAAGCTTTTTATAACTTTCCCTTTTTAATTAAATTTACATAAATATATACCTGTAAATACTATAATTTCAAACTGAATTTCTGTTATCACTGCGGCACACCTGCAGTCCCAACAAGAGGCCACGGTCCACAGTTTGGACATCACTCTGAAGGTAGATTTTAACATTAACGTGCAAAGTCATGTAATTATTATACTACAGTTGGTAACTGATAAGTAATAAGTTTATATAAACATATAGACACAACTGTGATGTGTTGATTGTTTTATAAATATTTAAAATAAAGTAGCGACTTGAATATTAGAAGATTTATTACAGAGAAAGTATTAATAGTTATTTGAGATGAAGAGTAATAATCTATTAGGTAAAAAAATCTTAACATATCTTGTTTAACTTTATATGATCTCAAGCCAATGAAAATTATAATGTTACTCCTCCTGCAGCAGGTGAAGACTTCTAAAAATGCATCATCTACAGAAATAGAAAATTATTCTTGTTAATTAACAAAATAGTTCCTTCTTAAATAACATTGAGAACAAATGTCAAACTTACCTTTAAATGTCAAGGTCATCACTGGGTTTATATTTTTTATTTTCTTGTAATGGAAATGTTCTCATACATATTTTCATCTTGTTCTAAGAAAACAAAGATAGGTATCCATTCAGATAATAATTTTGATTCTCTAATTTTTTTATTTTGCTATAGCAGACACGTAAGATGACTTTAGATTTCAAAAAGAAAAAAAATACCATACCTGTGTTTTGCTTCTGAGGATTTTTGTTGAATCTAAATATTTGAAATAAAGCATTATTAAAATGTGGTCATGCAACACAAAAGGGCAACACTAAGGTTTATTTGAATTTAACAAGGAATCCACAGATTTATTATTATAAAGTATAAGTGTTTATTCTGCATGATTAACATAAACAAGAACTGAAAAGAATTAATTCTTCTTTGTGAAGATGAACGTTAGCAAGTGACTGTTTGCAGAATATGAACCATTTGTTGAATCGTACCACTGAATACTAGACATATTTCAAAGATTACAATAATTATGTATATTCAAAAAGGAAAATGTTTTCCTGGTGATTTTTCAAATACATTCTCAACTTACTTTTTCTTATAAATGTAGTACCCTCCACCAACAGCTGCAGCGACGATGACACAACATGCGATTACTATTCCAGCGATGCAACCAGCAGCACATCCTGATGATTTCTCTGGAAAAATATTGGTAAAGATAATGAATACTTTTTTATACAAAATTGTCTTATCATCCCAAAACCATCCAATAGCTTCTTTCTTTATTTGATTTTTATAATTTTAGAACTATCAGAGGACTTTTGATTGGTGCTCTTGTTGCATCGAAAGTACTTGTGTTTGGAAAAGTGGTGGATGCACTATGTGGTTTCAGTTAACAATTTGCTGACAATTGATTAATGTCTTGCTAAAGGGTAGTGTGGTGTTAGAAACAACTGTTATGTTATCTGAAGATGAACCTCCAAAATTTATTGATAGATACGATGGCCCCTAGAGACAAAGCATGTACAAACTTCAAAAAACACGTACAAACTGAAAAGCGCAAACTCCAAAAACATGCAGACTCCAAAACACAACGGATGTGCTCCAGGACGCTAGGGGGAGTGTTGAGGTCGATTTGCAAAATAAACGGCAAGTTTGTTGCAAACACATGGAGTTGGATACAACCACACTCATGTATTCAAATAGTTTTTACATTTTAAATTGACCTGTAACTGCAACACACCTAATCCGGTCATTGGTACTTCCTGGCTTTTTTAGCCACTAGGTAACAAAAGCTCAACACCGCCCGTAGCGTCCTGGAGCACTTCCGTTGTGTTTGTATGTGCTTTGTCTCTAGGGGCCACCGTAGATAGAAAACTAGAGCAAATGTACCACCTGTTAAACTTTCAATAGTACCATCAAAGAGTATGTACACACACAGATACCTGTTACAGTCAGTCCATGCACCACTGATGATGATGTTACTCTCAGTTATATTATTCCAGGCTTGACAGGTGTAGTTGCCACTATCAGAAAGTTCAACCTCTTCTTTAATGTACTCAGCAGAATTGGTGAGGATTTCTACACCATTACGCAACCAGCTAAATCTGGCAGTTGGTGTGGATTCAGCAGAGCAGATCAGTTTTAAGGTGCCTTTGATATTTATCTCATTTGGACCTTTGATTTGAACATTTTCTGGTCCATCTGAAAAACAGGTAAAAATAATAAATGTGTTCAGTACTTTTAAATTTCTGCATTACTAGACTACATATCATATTAGTTGTACCATTCAAAGTTTGAAATTATTTTACTGTATGCATGAACAAGAAGTGTAGACTGACCAGGATGTTACTTACAATTAACAGTCATGATGTATTTAGCTTCATCACTGCTGATGGGGTTGCTGATCTGGCAGAAATATTCTCCACTGTCTTTCCTCTTCACAGTGTTAAAGGTCAACACTCTGTTATTATCAAAAAGGATCATGTTGTCAGTCGGGGTCAGTTCGGAGCCATCCTTCATCCAGATCCTTGTAAAGACTGAGCCAGAAGCCTCACAGGTTAATCTGACAGAGGTTCCGTCAACTGGCAGGTTTATTGATGGTTTGACAGAAGCACCTGATATTTCCTCTGTTTGCCAAAAAATAATTGATTTAGAAAATAAATTATATCATAATAAGAACAAAAGCAAAAAATCAGTGATGGTGAAATAAAAGAGAACAACTGGAAAATCTATAAAATGAGATTAAAAACACCAAACAAAACCACAGAGATGAGGAGAACTCTTGAGATACAGTGGGGTAAAAAAGTATTTAGTCAGCCACCGATTGTGCAAGTTCCCCCACTTAAAATGATGACAGAGGTCAGTAATTTGCACCAGAGGTACACTTCAACTGTGAGAGACAGAATGTGAAAAAAAAATCCATGAATCCACATGGTAGGATTTGTAAAGAATTTATTCGTAAATCAGGGTGGAAAATAAGTATTTTATGTTTATTTATTTATTTATATATGGATTCATTGATTTTTTTTTTTCACATTCTGTCTCTCACAGTTGAAGTGTACCTCTGGTGCAAATTACTGACCTCTGTCATCATTTTAGGTGGGGAACTTGCACAATCGGTGGCTGACTAAATACTTTTTTGCCCCACTGTATGTGTCAAGCAGGTATACAGGCTTTGTTTTGATATTATTTATTTACTTAGGATAATGATTAACACTAAATTCAAGTTATATTATCTACAACTAAAAATATTTATTATTGTTTGACATTTTCAAACAACTTCACCTTAAAAGTCAAGACGTATAATATTAAATTTAAATGTGCCGGACACTTTTAAATTGCCTATCTCCAATACCAATTGATTACTAATTGATATGAATATGTGGAAACACTGTACAAGACTCTAATATCAGGCAGACACTTTTTTTTACCCTATTTACATATAACTGATGTTTTGTGAGCAAATGAAGAGGACATTGACAAAGACAGACAACTTTTTTATGACTTTTTGAAGTAGCCAAGGATGCTACTTCTATAAGAAGGTTTATGCAGGTATGGAATTGGAGGCAGGGGTGATAAGATTATAACATGATTACAGAAAAGCTCATGTCCTCTAACATTGACCCGGTAGCTTGAGGGTCCTGCACAGTATCAATGCTGTTTCTAGGTCTACAATCATCTGGACAGAGAAGATTTTCCTGTTTTTCCTAAAGAGCATTTTGTTGTAAATCCTTCACTCTGACTGATCCTCTTTTCTCTATCAGCCCCATTTGTTTTCTGCGTGAGAAAATATTTCAAAAGCCTGCAGTATATGAGGAAACCATTTTATTTGAAAATTGTTTTTCTGTATTGTTTATCTCCACAAATATTTTATATGTGTGAAATTATTAGCTGAATATAGCTGTAGTCAAAAATATATGCATGAATCACACACTTAAACAATAAATCAAACCTACCCAGCACAGTGATGGCTGAAGGCTCAGATGTTTGAGATCTCAGAGTTTTGTTGTTAAAGGCCTGACAGCTGTAGTTTCCACTGTTACTCATGTTAACATTCATCAGTCTGAGCTCTGATCCAGTATCAAGCAGCTGATCTCCATTCAGAAACCAGTTAAACTGGGCAGGAGGTCTGGATCCAACTGAGCAGGTGAGGCTGATGTCTGACCCCACAGCAAAGTATCCTTGTGGTGGAGATAAGATCAAATTGATATTTTCTGGGCCATCTAAATGTAGAGGGACATAGAAAAGTTACGTTGGGTGGATGAAAAATGTAAAAGTATATTAAATTCAGTTTTTCTTGTTAAATCGCAAAAGTATTTCACACAACTACATTGCTTCACATCATGTCAACAGAAAAAACGATCTCATCCATCTTTTATTCAGCTTATCGGACATATCTAATATTCTGAAATCTAAAATGATGTCTAAACACTCTGATGCTTGTGTGCAGATGTTTTCAGATAAATTACTGAGCATTTACTTTAGTAACTCACAGCTGATGGAGAGGTTTACTGGATCACTGGTACCAGTACTGACAGGGTTGGACACACGACACCTGAATGGTCCCTGGTCAAAGCGGGTCACATTGATTATAGTCAGACTGGAGCCTCCATCAGTGAGCTGAACTCTGTCACTTGCTGTAACCTCAGAGCTGCCGTTCAACCAGAGGAAAGAGAGAGAGGATCCAGAGGCAGAGCAGGACAGAGAGACAGAAGCACTGAACTCAACCAAGTCTGTGCTGCTGGAAGTTACCAACACATTGGAGACTTTCTCTGTGAAAGAAAAATACAACAATAGAAAATAAGCATTAAAATAATTACAAATCAATTCCAGCTGAACTATGTCATGTTAAGGAGGATATATTACATAACCAACCTAAAATGACAGAATAGCAATAATTGCAAGAAATACTGTACCAGTCAAAATCTTGAAATATTTTTATTTATATAAATAAATAAATCAACTCCCTTTAAGTGACTATTCTGAACAGAATAAATGAGACAGTTGAGTTCTCAGCTTGTTCTTTGCTTTATGGGGATCAATATTACCTTCAAATAAACCATTCAGTTTCTTACAGCCACTTTTTAAAGTCTTTATTATCACAGTCTTAAGAAAAAGACGAATTATTGCAAGAATGCATTATTGCAGAGTAGAGATGTAACAAACATGTACTAATCATTACAGGTATTTTTACATGTTCAATATATTGTAAACTTGTTTAAATATTGCAAAAACAGTTAAGCTGTTGAATTTCTACATCTGCTCACCGTATATCAACAGAGTAGTACCCCTGCTGGGCTTTTCCATCTTGTATAATGTTAACAGTGTAATCTCCAGTGTCATCCAGAGTGAGACTCCTGAGCTCCAAAGACGCAGTAGATGGGAAGAAGGTGATCCTGCCTTCATACTCAGGTGCAATAGTTTCTTCTGAGTTAATCATGGTTATTATAGTTGTAGAGAAATTAACATTCCAGTTCACAGATTGAAACGGTTTCTCTGTTGGAGACAGTGTTGTAGTGAACATCACAGTTTCTCCTACAGCTGCATTCAGACCATCAGGCAACACACCATCTCCTTCAGTGAAACCTGCGGGAGAAGAATAGCAAAGTGCTGTTGTTACTCAAACATATGAAACACTTGTGGAATATATAAAGATTAAGAGTTATTTTCATTAAAGTCTAATGTCTGCTTTTCCAGATAATACTGCACATAATTCTGATTGAGTTTCAGGAACTCGCTCAATAATCACGTGGTTATTAAAACTGTTAACCAGCTGTTGTTTTTGGTGACTTGTTGCTATTCTAAGCCCTTGGCGAACAACCGAAGGAAAATCTGACTTTTTGTAAAGAGACCACAAGTTATACTGAACATCTTAATTTTGAGACTTACTTGCAAATGCCACAAAAACAACAAGAAGCTGTAGTAACAAAGCCATTAATTAAATATCCGTGAACTGTGCAGTTAGTAATGTTTTACTATCAAACTGACCAAAAATCTACTGACTCAGTATGGTGAATGAAGCTCTACTTAACAAGATGCAGTGTCAGTTTCATGCAGCAGGTTAATTCAAGAAACAAAACTGACACTGACAGATTCATGTACAACATAATTCAGAAACAGGTAGCCAACAGGGGAGCCAACTGAAGCAACCTGATCAAAGGCTTCCCATATTTCTCCTGTCTCCTCTGTCCTACATCTGAAATCAGTCTTGAGAAATGTGTCCCAAGTCCTGCATCCGGAGGAGAAAGGAGACAAGAACTATAGGGTTTAATTGGAATAGATTTAAACTGAGATTCAGAAGGAAGCACTCAACTTTCTTTTAAATGTCTTTTGTTTCCACTCTCTCTCTCATGAAGAACAAATCAGAGAAGTAAAAAGAGTTAAAGTCGCATGATGAACAATTAACGATCAATGAAGAATGACACAAAGGACGAGGAAAACTAAGCATTACTAGAGAATTATAAGGACCATGGCACTGCTCTCCTACTCTCATTTAAAATACTTTTGTACAAACCTGCTTCTTCTCTGATCCATGTTATCTGAGCGTATGTATTCAGGTTACATATGATTAAACATGAACTAGAAATGTATTCAACAGATGTCTCATAAAGTAAAAAACAAACAAACAATAAACAAAGTAAAACTTTAAAGTCAGTGTGAGCAGACAGTTTTTTTCTGCCACATCAAGCAGTGAGAGCTCACCTGAGATGGACCCAAAAATGAAGAAGTATATCACAAGTACATCAGAAAATGTTTCCATTTCTAAAGCAGTCCTTCACTCTTTGTCTTTTCCTTTGCTGATACCGGTACATGAATGTTCATTCAGTATATGGTGTCATAAGGAAGTAATGTTGTTATTCTGAAAGGTTAAACTTCATGAACTTGTTAATCATTAACAAACCTTTCTACTAAATGTTTGTGTCAGATTCTGTTTAATCACATTAAGCTTTCCTTCTGTACTGTAACAGCTAGTAACAGGATGTGTCACTTGGAAGAATTCAACATGATTTATTGTCAGAGAGAAATTAATTGATCTATTTTGGCAATTAGGCTCCAATGACCCATCACAGCAGTGATAGAACACAAGACAGGAACCCAGCCCGTCCCAGAGTCTAGATGTTGGTCCTGAAGATCAACCAATATCACACCAAAACGGGTAACAGACACGCTGGTCCACCTTGTCCATTTCATGCTTTGCCTCTCCAAAGGAAATACTGGGATGTGAAGTTGGAGATGTTTTGTGTGGGTGTGTGTGGAATTGTTGTCATAGTGATCCAACAAAACCATCAGGCAACACACCAGCTCCTTTAATTAAGCATATAGGAGACATTTTTGTTTGACTAAATGAAATTAAAAAATTGCATTTGAAAATGGAAAATAATTAGCTGTAATTTTTTTTATTTAAGTGTTTAATTGGAAGTTCACCTGCAAAAAAATATATATAAATTGCTACAAGAAGCAATGATGTGACACTGACAGATGCAGGGACAAATCCAGACAACAGAGCCAAAAGAAGATACAAAAGAAACTTAACAGGTAAAAAACCTGACCAAAGGTTTTTCTTGTTTTCTAATTTGTATCACCCTGTCTCCTCTGTCCATCTGAAATTTAGAAAAATATATCTCAAGTACTCAGAAGCTTTTGGAGGAGCTATGATGAAGGATCAAAGGAGTGTCCTTTGCAGAAATGCTTTCATTCAGTGTCTAAAAGAGGAATGATATTGTTACGCCCCACTTAAAAACAAAGTGTTGTCTGGGATGGGGAGTAACAAAGTGAAAAAGAAATGACAAAGTACATTTATTACACAAAACAACTAAAATAAAACTGAACACAGGGAAGCTCTTTTCTTCAGGGTCTCCAAGGCCAAAACAACAAACAAGCACCTCCTTTCTAACTAAAAAACAAACCAAGAACTCTCTACCCAAAAACAACAATGGCTGAGCTCCCTGTCCAGCCAAAAAACAGGAGAAAACAATTGAAACAAAAGAGCTGGCTGCAACACAACC